AGCCATGCCTGACAGCCGAATACAGCACCCAGAAGCAACAGTTTTTCTCCCGGTTTCCAGACAAGCACCTGCGCCATCTTGCAGCTTGACAGTTCTTTTAGAGAACTCTTCTAGATGCAGTAGTTATCATTGAAAAGCAGCACTAGCTTTACGTGGTTAAGCACTCTATTCCACTGTCATATCTGAGAAAGAAATATTGCAGACCTCTCCACCTCGAGATCCCCCGAACGTCAAGACTCCGCGGCTAGTGTCAATACATGTATCGATGCTGAAGGTGTTATTGAACCAATGGAAAGCAACAGCGAAGTCACAGTTGACATGCCAGAGGAAAGCGAGCCAATTACTGTGATCGAAGCGCAACAAGGTACACAAGCCACAAACGCTCCCACTAAAAAGCCACTTCCAACAATTGTTATTACTCAAGATGATAACGTAAGTACTTGCAACTCCACTGCTATTAGCTTAGCGCATTCAGACTGAAAAATCAACAGCGTTTTCAGTCTCAATATGAAACATTTGATCCAACGGTTTGTGATTCATCCTACCAGTGGCTCCACCATGAGACCAAGAAGAACGCAAACTCAGACCAGGCGCGTATCTGCGTCTCAGACTCCTCCAACAGCGGATTGTTCACGGAGCTGACTGAAGGCGACAGGAGCAAAGTCGAATCAGCGTAAGGTCCTACATTCGGGTTTGGAATACATTAGTGAGACAATTGTTTTTAAGGAAATCTGTTCGCTGTGGCTACACATCTGTGGCCACTCTTCGATCAAGAATAGAAGCGAAGATGCAAGGGAAAAAACTTAGAAAAGTACCAAAAGCCACGCGAATCCCTGCTCCAGTTCTGCCCCATGAGGTACGCTCTCTTACGAATTTTGTAAAGATGTAACCGTGTAGGGATGGCTGGCTGAGAAAGCAAACGTCACGAGCGACTTGATCTTAAAAAATCACTTCCGAGCCAATTCACTGATTACAGAATCCTCGAGGAACTGGCGTTCAAATCGAAGAACATCCTGTCAACAAAGGTGCAACAGTGACAAGCCAAATCCCATCCTTGATCAAACCCCGACCAGTTATAAGATCTCAATCGGAATCCGATTTGGAAGCAGCGCTGAAATGCCGCGAACAGCAAGCGAAGTTATATGAAGACTCCCTTCTTGGAATTCCACAATCGGAACGTGTCACTTCAGCAAAGCGTCCGACATCAGAATTACAAAATGGAAACGCTTCACTGGATAAATACGGGGCAAATCAATGGTGGGCACATCCGCTGAGAGTGTAAATATTATTGACTAATAATAAAGATGAGACATACAACTTGGTAGACACCTGTGTGTACACAAAGTCACATTCACATCAGCTGTTAGATTTCATGCTGAAGAAGTGCACTGCACAGAAAGTTTTCAAAATAGCAATATCAGTACCGATTTCAAAATAACAGCGAGAAAGCTTCCTTTAGATATGCTACTTTGCAACAGGTAAGAGACCGAAGCAATGAACAGAAGAAGTCCGAAATAAATATACCGCCCTCTGTTAGAAGATGAAAGTGAAAAAAATAATTAAGGCTCTCACCCATCCTTCCTTTTCCGAATAAAAATGAGCCCAAGCTCTCGCATGTGCATTATGAGTGTTGTCTGATCTTCTGTCCAATTACTGTTGATTTCAAATGCAGTCTGAGAAAAATCTCCACCTATATATAAACTATTATTTAAAATGAAATTCACAGCATCTGCATAATGGGACATAAATATAGTGACAAAACAACATCGCTGAACAGCGGCCCCCGACTAGGTTATTGTTGCCACCATCATCTATACACTACGTGATCTATTCTTACCTGCACTTGTTGTATGCATCGCATATGGGGCACATATCGAAGAAAGTATCTTAAGACGTGGTTGTAGCACATGGCACATTCTGAAGATGTATCTTCAGACCAACCGACCATCGAAGACAGTTCAATTTATAACCATAGTTGGAGGGGTCGACCGGCTCCAGCAGCCACTCGGCGGGTTATAATTGTAGCCAGAACACTAATCCAGGTGCACTTCAGGGAATGTTGGAAAACTGAACAGATTTGAAAGTTCCGATTTAAACGATAAAAAATCGAACAACTGGCCCACACCGCTAATGTCATTTAGAAACCCTGGGAAATCAACTGCTAACCTCAATCACCACAACGCTAGTGCACTTGTTGAAAGACGTGCGAGCAAACTGATATACAGAAAGGCATAAGTATTCAGTAGAAATTTGCTCCCGTTTTAGCTGAAGACCATTTGAAATAGAGCGTCCGCAACTAAACATTTCGGTAATTTTTGTGGTCAAAATACGAGAGCAAAAGCAACCAAGTACTGACTCTATTAAATTTGAGAAAAATATGTCGTGATTTAGACGACTGGAAGGATTGGTTTCATCAGCACAACGGTTTCGAATTGAATTTGCTTCCAGCCCTGTGTTGAGCCACTCTAGCTTAACTTTGATCTCAGGATATTTCGAGAGGAAAGCAAATTTCTACTGATACTTATGCCTTTCTGTATATCAGTTTGCTCGCACGTCTTTCAACAACTTAGATCTCAGGAACACCGGTTCGGTCCAGTCTTAAGGTAATGAACTCGATCTTATTGCTGGAGTAAGAAGTAAAGAAGTAACGAAGTTGACGCAGTTTAATCGAATTCCTGATAGCTTCTTTTTCAAGAACCTCTCGATAAATGAATGTGGACAACAGTCAAATCCTATCTAGTTTGTTCGAAAAAGGGTAAGAAAATCAGGCGGATTTGAAAAATTCTTAAAATAAAACCACAAATGTTTTGACGCTAGAATTATGTCCCAAATTGTGATGAATGAACGAACCTCTGACGACACACAAAATCACTCTAA